TAATAAGGATTATTCCGTAATAATCTATAGTTGAGATTAATGTGGGAAGACCACCATTAGTTGGGATTAATCATGTAAATTTTTTCTTAAGAATATACGTATTCGAATAATTCATGGATTTCATTAAGTGGCCTATTTGATGAGGAAATCCCAGTTAATCAATTTGATAAACATTATATTGTTTATCAAATGGCAAAATGGTAAATAAAACAACATAAATACCTAATCATCATGTCATTTTCGTAAAAATATCAACAACAGTGGGACCCATATTTAATAAAAAGTTGTTGATTTATTTACAATTTTGTCATTTGATAAACAAATTTTGTTTATCATATTGATAAACTTGAATTTTCTCGATACATTAGATATTAAAAAAAAAAAAAAATCAACAAAAAATAAAGGAACAAGTACATACATGACATGATTCACTAGCATGTGTTTACTATGCTCACATGCATGCGAGAAAAAAGTGTTCTTTTTGATCAATCTTAAGGAAATACATAAAATAAAATTAGAGTAGGTTGATGACTTAGAGGGCGTTTGGTATGAATATTAGAAATGGAGTGGAAAGGAAATATATAAAAAGAAAATAAATCATTTAATTGTTAGTTATCTTTTCATTTGTTTGATTTAAACATGGAAATGAATCACTTAAACCTAATTTTCTTTATTTTTGTTTGATGAGGGTAAGGATATTGTTACCTTAGCTTTTAAAGAGGTAACAAATGGGTGGAAACCAGTATCCTTAGGTAATGGTAATTGTTATCTAAGCCTTCTAACCAAACACTTGGTAACAGTAATGGTTTAATTGAATCTGTTTCCAACCCTAAAAATACTCTAACCAAACATGCTCTTAGACCTAAAAATGAGACTGTAGCCCACTCGTGAACTGGGTCGTTTGTAGGGGACAAATAGATTCAAGACATAGTCTAACACAATTATTTGGGATCACTTATATCTAAATTCTAGTGAAAGATACTTTGTGCCATCTTTTATTGATGTGGTGCCAAATAGGTGGGATATACATCACCTGTGCAAGCTGAGATCATGGAGGAACTTGATCTTTCAACAGCCCAGGTATGACTACTTTGACTGTTTTGTTCAATGTACTCCAAATAACAAAGTAGTATTATATTGCTAATGTACTGCTTCTTTATGTTTGTATGAGTTTGTCCAGTATTCTCTCTTTGGATCAATGGTTCCTATTGGAGCAGCATTGGGTTCTGTAGTATGTGGTATGTTAACAGATTATCTAGGCCGAAAACATGTAAGTTATATCTTATTGTGTTCTGTTTTCGTGATGTTACAACTTCGGATTTATTCTGTTTTCTTGATAACTTGGCATTTGATAAGGCAGGTACTACAACTAACTAGCCTATTTTTGATATTTGGCTGGTCTGTGATATCAGTAAGCCAGGTTCTTTTTCTTTCTCTAGTGTTTAATCAAATATCTACTTAATTCATTAAATTAAAATTCTTGTTTATGTTGTGATTTCAACAATCCTTTATCCTGATAAAAGGGTGCAAGGCTGCTTGACATGGGTAGATGGATGCTCGGTTTCACTTCAAGCATTTTAGGATTTGCTGTAAGCAAGAAATTCTGCTTTCCATCTAATACTTATGTCACATAGTTCACGATTCATGCATCGTAATGATTTCTCAGATTCCAATATATGTAGCAGAATTTACTCCTAATGATCTTCGGGGAGGGTTCGTTGCTCTCCATGTGGTAATGATTAATTCTGAAACAAGTTGTTTACATGTGTAATGCGTTCATAATTAAAATTTGTATATCTGCTTGCACCTGCTTTTTAACTTCGCCTCATTATATCCTGTTTCAGTTAATGCTAACAGTTGGTGTCTCAACAGCATACCTCGTGGGACTAATCATCTCTTGGCGTACTTTAGCTTTGATTGGTACTTTCCGTGTTTATAAATGTACCCCACTTCAGTTATTTCAATTTTTGAATTTCTCTGGTAGTTTGAACATCATCATATTCCAGGAATTATACCGGGTCTTGGACAGATGGTTTATTCTTCATTCCAGAGTCTCCTAGATGGCTGGTAAGGCATGTTCCTTGCAATTCCTGTAAAAATTGTCATTAACCACTGATAAGATGATGATTAAGATATGTTTCACGACAGTTGATTAAGAATAAAAACAAGGAGTTCGAAGCAGCCTTACAGTGTTTTAGGGGAGGCTTTGTTGATGTATCTCAGGAAGCAGATGATATAAGGGTAACAGTAATCCACGGTCTATAGTTCAAATATTTACATGGAAATAATTTTTGTATGACATGATGAAATGTCTGAATATTTGTGAAGGACACTGCTAGAGCCTTACATCAAATGGAAAAAGTTAGCATTATACAACTATTTCAGAGGAAATTTGCATATGCGCACACAGTAAGCTTAGAACAAATCGATTATGAGCTTATATTTTGTGGGTTTTTCACACTTCATCAGCTAATGAGGATAATATGCATTCATATTAGGTGGGAATTGGTCTTGCAATGCTCGGTTCCTTTGTTGGTTTAAACGGAATCATCTTCTATGCCAGCTCTATATTTGAATCAGCTGGTCAGTTAACACTTTATAGCTCCATATTTCACAAACTTCTCCATAATAGTACTTCCTCCGTCCCATATTTGACATTCCACTTACCTTCTTGGAATTTATTGAACTAAAAGTTTCCTGTCTTCTTTTTGATTTTTACTTTCTCTGTAATATAATGTTAAAATCCTCTTTCAGTTCTGATGCTTCTCTCACTAAAGCATCTACGTACTTTCGACATGTTCTTCTTAATCTCTGTTCCATATAGTCATATAGAAGTGGAAAGTTAAATATCTAAGAATAGTAAATGCCTTAAAGTTGATTCTATCATTGGTGTTGAGCAGGAGTTTCAGCTAAAGTGGGAACTACGGCGCTGGCTTTTTGCCAGGTACTTGATTTCTGATTAATTTCAACTGCTAATTATAAGTATTAGTAATTGAAGTCGCTTTGAATTGAAAGTGACAAAATACTTTTTTTATTTGCAGCTTCCAAGTATGGCATTAGCTATAATTTTGATGGATAAATGTGGGAGGCGGCCTCTTATGATGGTTAGAACAATGAACTAATAATAATAAAGTTTTAGTACATCATAAAATTGGTATTTCATAAATTGAGATCATAACTTGTAGATTTCAGCAACTGGTCTTTTCTTAGGTTGCTCACTGACAGGACTTGCATTTCTGTTTCAGGTTAGCTTTAACTACTTAACATTTTTGTTGCCAGAGTTTTTCTGAGGTTAACCAGAATGATTGACTCTATGATACCTTTTTCTGTTCAATCAGGAGCAACAATTGCTGGACGGTTTCAGTCCGTATATTGCACTTATTGGCATAATGGTAACTTAAACTACTGATCAAAGAGCTGCATTATTTGTGTTGCTGTTGTTGCTGCTGCCGCTGCTGCTGTTGTTGTGTGTTTTTGATCGATAATAAATTAAGAGCTTAACTTATAATCATTATGCACAAATGGACTGGCAGATATGATTATCATTACCTTAATACCTTATAGGGCATATAGGCATGCAAAGGCCCACTGAATTGTGTTAAGAGCAGTTTACTCAGTCTGATAAGTTCCTTGTTTCTGCAGATCTACGTTGCTTTATTTCCCATAGGCGTAGGCGGAGGATCTGCTGTTATTACTTCTGAGGTATGACTACTTCCAGCTCTGAATTATACTTCTCAAGTGCATAAGATAGCAAGATGAAGTTTTCCCAGTTTAGTAGATGGATTGATGGAATGAATTAATTAATTCAGTGAATGTTACTATATCAGATATACCCCTTGAACATAAAAGGGTCAGCAGGCAGTATTGTTGCTGTAATATCCCATCTATCATCATGGATTGTTTCTTATACATTTAACTTTTCAATGGAATGGAGTTCTTCAGGTAAATAATGTTCCATCCCCTTTGATCTTCAGCTCTTATTTTCGCCTGTCAAACATTCACTCGATAATATCATCTGCATTGCTGTAGGAACTTTCTTTGTATTGGCGGGTGTTTGTGTGTTACTGATAATATTTGTGGCAAAATTGGTGCCGGAGACTAAGGGGAGAACACTTGAAGAAATTCATATGGAAATGAGTAATGCTTGGCAATAATGTGACATAGTCCTGCTTTAAATACATTATGAAAGACTATTTTATGCAAGTTATTAGAGACTATTATTCTCACATTGTAGATGAAGAGGGAGACGACGAACATATTAATCTTTTCGTTATCTTTCACCTATGAGCCTATCATCAATTCGGATGCAATCTTTCAATGCTTGTATGTGGTTAAAGGCGCATTTGTTGAACACTTATTTATGATTTATGTCTAATTAGTTTCGTCTCAAGTAATTTATACTTTCATAACATCAATATTTTTATTATACCAATAATAACAGATATATATGTGATTTAAAATACGCATTAATTTAACAAATGTGAAATAAGAAGCGTTGCTGATTACAAATTACTTGTATCATAAGTTTTTCGGAATTGGATTCATAAATGCAGAAAGACTTGCGTGGACCTGATTCATAATAAGCCAATAATATTATTGTGGACATGAGGTCTATACACACGCAAGTGACATTACTTTGCACATAGTGACCCCTTATTTTGAACATAGTAACATTATTTTCAACATTATTTATTAAAACTTGTATAATGTTTAATGTTATTGTGAATTTAAAATACGACGTTATGATCCTAATTTTAATATAGTGACCTTTATTATTCATATTGAATATTCCATCAAAAAGATTAACCTCTTGTAGTTTATATATTACCAAAATGACTTTTATTTCAACATAGTGACTTTATTTTATTATTATAGAAACCTTTTTTATATTAATAAAACAACTATAGTTTCTCTAATAATAGTGGTCCACAATAAATTAGAGCGGAGCAGGTCCATTTAAGAATTTGTATCATAAATGTGAGGACAAGATATAATTGTGAACAAATACGAATAATGCGTTACAGTTATAACAGATATAATTGTGAACAAATGGGAATAGCCACAAACAACTAACTTGTTAGAAAGATCCAGTATTGAAGTGGTCCACCAGACAATTATAACAGATGAGTAGCATCTATCAATAATTTATTACTCCGTATTTCATACCCCAAATTTAGTAACAAACAATTAATAATTAAAATTACAAAATAAAAAAAAGAAAATAAAATTTTTAACAGAACATCAGTTTCAGACTCTGGAAAAAAAAATGAAGGAAGAAATAAGTAAACAGCTCTTACAGCATGATAATAAGATAGATGATGAAGCTGATGATGCGGAGCCAGTAGAAGCAGCAATGGATTCGTTGTTGTCGTTGATCACTCCAATGCTGCTTCTCTCCGCTTTCATTGCAGTTTTGGGTTCATTTTCATGTGGTTTTATTGTAAGTTTTGTTATCTTTTCAATTCTGGTTTCATTTTCATTCGCTTCCTCTGCGTGGCAATGGATCACCGTGCCAGCAGTCGTGTTGTTACATGTCCCCTTGTCTGGGGGCAGGGCATGACATGACACTACACGACCTATGAACTTGGTTGTGTGCTATGAAAATAGCCTACGTGTGAGTTGGGATTTTTGATTATCACACATGTAAGAATGAGGATGAGTAAATATATAAGTCTAACAGATTTTATTAGATCAATTGATGCAATTGGTCTGGTACGAATTTTGTTTTATAAAATAGAGATATAAATTCCTTTTTTGTTTATCATATGCTTGATATGTCCCTAAATGTTATCGATGTAGTCATGTAGTCTCTAATTGGAATTCTTAATCAAGTGGTGTTGATATTGAAACTATATGAATGTTAAAAATTTATTGATGGAATTTAGAAAGTGGCCTATTATTTTGGGACGACTGAAATATCATTTCTGGTGAAATGTACAATCTTTCATCGGAGTAGTGGCTAACAGGTGGGATATACATCACCGGTGCAAGCTGAGATCATGATGAAACTTGATCTTTCAACTGCCCAGGTATACATTAATGTATGGCTTATATATTAGAGTCTTAGAAAATTCATGTAATATACTCCCAATTCATTTAGTCTTCAAATATTCTGCTTCTTTATAAGTGTGTGTACATGTGTTTGTCCAGTATTCTCTCTTTGGATCAATGGTTCCTATAGGAGGGGCATTAGGTTCTGTAGTATGTGGCAAGTTAACGGATTATCTAGGTCGTAAACATGTAAGTTGTATCCTATTATGTTCTGATGTAACGATGTTACAACTCCGGATTGATTCTGATTTCTTAATAAACTTTGCTTTTGGCAAGGCAGGTACTGCAACTAACTTCTGTAGTTTACATCTTTGGCTGGTCTGCCATATCAGTAAGCCAGGTTTTTTTCGTTATCTCATTTCTTTGGTTTAATTTCAAAAGTTCAGTTGAATAAAATGTCTGATTGATGTTATTATGAAATCCATTTTCCTGATGCAAGGGTGCAAGGCTGCTCGACTTGGGTAGATTGATGTTGGGTGTTACTTCAGGCATTTCAGGATATGCTGTAAGTAGAAAATTCTGCACTTCATTTAATTCTGATTATTGTGATTTTGCAATATATGCATCATAATGTTGTCTCAGATTCCGGTGTATATAGCAGAATTTACTCCCACAGAACTTCGAGGAGGGTTTGTGATTCTCCATGTGGTAAATGATCGATACTGAAATAACAAGCTCTTGTCTTCATTTACTATTGTAATTTTTATACCTTTTCGATTTTATAACCTTGCCTTTTGAATATCCTGTTTCAGTTAATGATAACAGTCGGAGTATCAACAGCATTTCTCATAGGACAAGTCACCTCTTGGCGTACCTTATCTTTGTTTGGTATTTTCAATGAAACTTGATGTATATCAGCTCAGATCTTTCAGACCCGAAATTTTTCTGACAGTTTAAATTTAATGTTCCAGGTATTATCCCGGGTTTTGTACAGATAGTTGGTTTATTCTTCATTCCAGAATCTCCTAGATGGCTGGTAATGCATGTTCATTTATTTCCTTTGTCAGTAACCATAACCTTTTCTAAAATGATGATCTAAGATATGTTTCAAGACAGATGATGATGAGCAAAAACAAGGAGTTCGAAGCATGCTTACAGTGTCTTAGGGGAGATTCTGTCGATATCTCTCAGGAAGCAGCTGATATAAGGGTAGAAGATTTTAATCACAATCTATAGTCCAAATGTTCACATGAAAATATATGTTGTATGACATAACATGATGAAATGTCGGTTGATTTTTGTGAAGAAATCTGCTAGAGCCCTTCATCAAATGAAAAAAGTTGGCATCACACAACTATTTCAAAGGAAATATGCTTATGCACTCACAGTAAGCTTCAAAAAATTAAACCATGAAGTTTTCTATTTTTTCAGTATTGTGCACTACTAAGCTATTGGCTGTTTGTGTGACAATATGCTTGGATTTTAGGTGGGAATCGGTCTTTCAGCACTTCCTGCCCTTGTTGGTTTAAACGGGATCATATTCTATGCCAGTTCTATCTTCGATTCAGCTGGTTAGCTAGCCACTAAAAGCTTCATAATAATCTAAAAACTAAATCTCCATCTTATATCCACTAACCCATTTTGACTTCCCAACAACACTTAAGAATGCACCAAGAAAAAAATTTATGTTACTGCTTTTTTCTCTCTCAATTCAGCCAATAGTTTAAGCATTGAAGGTTTATTCTGTTGGTTTTGAGCAGGATTTTCAGTAAAACTGGGAACATTGGCACTGGCCTTATTCCAGGTTCTTCAACTTTGATAGATTTTAGCTACTAATCAAAGTATTACTGATGTAAGTTCGAAAGTAACAAATAATCTTCTGTTTGCAGCTCCCAAGTGTGGCTTTCGGTATAATTTTGATGGATAAATGTGGGAGGCGGCCTCTTATTATGGTTAGTATAGTGAACTATATATCAAATTGTATTGCTTGATCATTAAGATCGTGTGCTCATGACTTGCAGGTTTCAGCAGCCGGTCTTTGCTTAGGCTGTTCACTGACAGGGCTCGCATTTCTGTTTGAGGTTTGCTATCACTACTTGCTTTCGTTGCCAGCATTTCTCAATTTTTTTTCTTACCATTATGATGATTTACTCTTTTTCTTATTGCTTACAATTCTCAGGACCGTCACTTTCTGAGTGATTTCAGTCCTTACATTGCGCTTATTGGCATACTGGTAACTCAAAGCACTGATTTTGTTTTGTTATTGTTGTTCCTGCTGTTATGTGTTTCTAATCAATAAATCAGGCGCATCTTATGGTCATTACTCATAAAATGACTCACTAATATGATTACCACTACCATATAGGCGTATGATCTTAAACTTATATCTAAGATGAATCATGGACTAATGAACTGTCTTTACTGATTAAGAGCGCGTAGTTGATAAACTCTGATGAAAAACTAACTTCTGCAGATCTATGTTGCTTTATATCCAATAGGTATAGGTGGAGGATCTGCTATAATTATTTCCGAGGTATGATTATTTCCAAATTTGAATCAACAGTACTGGTAAAGTTAAATGTTTGGATTTATGGGCTAGTATGTTAAGTAAATGCTACTTTCAGATATTTCCCCTGAACATAAAATGGTCAGCAGGCAGTATTGCTGCTGTAGTAACAAACCTATCATCATGGATCGTTTCATATGCTTTTAACTTTTCTATGGAATGGAGTTCATCAGGTAAAATGTTCCATCTTCTTTTCATTTTTACTCACAAATCATTTTTTACCTTACAATGTTCACTTAATAAAATCATCTGCATTGTCTTAGGGACATTTTTCGTGTTAGCGGGTGTTTGTGTGTTTACACTGATATTTGTGGCGAAGCTGGTGCCAGAGACAAAGGGAAGGACTCTTGAAGAAGTTCATATGTCAATGAGTGATGTTTGGCAATGATGTAACATGTACTTTTATTAAGCTAAAGTTCAATTACTTTCATCACCAAGTATAGTTCAAATTTATTTGTAAAAAAAGAAAGAAAAGAAAAGAATTGAACTTAGAAAGATTGATGATGAATTATGCTCTACCTATGTTCGTTTTAAGTTTGTTATGAAGGAAAAAAACTCATCATCCCGACATCTGTTATCTATTGAGCCAATTACCAACATCTTAAAATCTTAGGGGTCGTTTGGTTGGGGGGTATTCAAGAAAGGGAATAGGAATCAATCACCCCGATTTCCTTTGTTGTTGTTTGTTAAGCACTTTCTTTCATTCCCTTTACCCCCTTCATCCCCCAAATCCCTCTAACTTCATTCCCCACCCCCCTAAGTATTTCCATTCCCATTCCCTACCCACCTTCACACCTACCAACACCACCGGAAACGCCCACCTTACCACCGCCGACACTACCCTGACCACCACCGCCCCTCCCCCGACCACCGCTGTCCCTCCCCCTCCCCCTCCCCCTCCCCTCGCCGCCCTCCCCTCCCCTCCCCCGCAAAACATCCCACAGCCCCCGCAAAACCCCTCCCTATCCCCGTAAAATCGCCGCCCAACCCTCCCACCACCCTCGCCGACCCTTCCCCGATCCTCGCCGCCTGTCCCCTTCCCCGCAAAAGCATTCCTCCGCCACTTCCTAAACCCCTCGTCGATCTAGGGTTTTTTTTATTAGGGTTTTTTCGGGGTTGTGGAAGGTTTTGCAAGGGGCGGGGATGGCCGGAGAAGGGAGGCGAAGGGTTAGGGAGGTGCGACGACTGGTTTGGTGGTGGTTCGGTGGTGGGAACGTTGGAGAATGAATATTACTGGTGGTTGTGTGGTGGTGGTGTGGTGGTGGGACTAGTGGGTTTCATTCCCTTTGTTTTTAAAACAAACAACACCCCAAATTTTAGGTATTTTCAATCCATTCCTTCTCTTTCCCTTTGTTCATTCCATTTCGATTACCCCGTGCGAACCAAACGGCCCCTTAGATTAACTAAATAGGGTAGAGAATCTAGAGATGTAATTAGATTTATTTTGGACACATTTTAAATACAATATTGGATTCCATGAGTGTTTTAAGACTCAATTTTTATATTCCAAGATTGTTAAGAAAAATGTATCGATTACATATATAATTATACTCTCTAAAATATTTATTAATCTGCTTCATTATTGTTAAATCGAGTGATTTCTCTTAATAATGCTAAAATACAAATTAATTTCTATATAAGTCAGTTTAAAAACTATACCCCACAATACGGTCCAAGTAAGATTGGTCCCTAGGTTTGAAATTTGGCAGTATAAAACCGCTAATACCATAAGAGGTTTTATGCATAGGACCTCTAATATCATTAGCGATTCTAAGGATAATCCAAATTAAATAGAACCGCAAATACCAATAGAGGCTCTATGCATAAATCCTCTAATACCATTAGAGGTTCTATATTAGTTAAAACCTTTTATACTAGCAAATACCGAACCTTGAAATCGAGCATACGTGCATAGTATTGTGGGAAATAGTTTTTAAACCAATGTATATAAGGAATTAGTTTATATTATTACATTGTTTTGGGAAATCACTCTGTTAAATATATCTTTTTTTGAACTGTTATTGTATGCAAACATTATGCTCCTAAAAACCTTTATTTACATTTTTTTTTTCATTAGTACTATCAACAACTAAAGTTGTGACATAAAAGTATAAGACCAACCTAAAAATATTTATTTACCTATATTTTTTGTTTACATACTTGTATATTTTTTTCAAAAATGTTGACCCTGTTTACCAACTTATTCAGGGTATAATCGTCCATACTTATTTAGGGGTTACTCAGTCGGTCAAGAATTACTTATTCTGGGACTCAGATCAATCGGGTAGCGTGTTTTATTTTTGCGTGAGAGTAACCCTTGACTGACCGTGTAACCCCTGGATAAGTCATCCTTGAATAAGAAACCCTTTACCGAATAACCTCTGAATAAGTAACTGACAAATTATTTATGAGAGAATAACTTGAATTGTATTGATGATCTTAGCTAATATTTATAGCCTATAAAAGATAACCTACACAATATATTGTGGATTTTCTTCATGCAGGAGAAAGCCACTAAGTTTATATGATAGAGTTTATATTGTATTGATGATCTTGGCTAATATTTATAGCCTATAAAAGATAACCTACACAATATAAAGTCTATCATATAAACTTCCATAAATCTATCTTAGAATACCACTAAGATATATTATTATCCTAAATATAATATCATAAGATCTATTTGGAAAATATATCACAATAATATATTTTCCTATATTCCTAACAGTAACCCCGACCACACGGTGTGATCAGCCACATATAAAAATTTGTGAAACTATTATTGGCATTAGAGATGCTCTTAGCTTAGCAAACCACTCTAAACCCAACAACTTTTGTGCGACTAATAGCTGACACAACAAGTAATCCTTGATCGACGAGTAACTTCTGATCGATTAAAACCTGATCGATGACCAAGTAACCCCTAACCGACCAAGTAACCCCTGACCTACTTAGTAACCTCTGATCGAGTAGTCATGACCGACTTAGTAACTCTTGACCAACCGAGTAACCCCTAATTAACTTAGTAATCTTTGACCTAGTGACAGTTTCTGATAAAAAAATTTTCCTCCAAAAGTATTATTGATGTTATTATTTTTTTTTCTTTTTCAAGGTAATGTTAATGATTGGAAATGATTGATTAATTATACATTCTTTTTAAGGGTAATGATATATGTAGCCCTCAAGTGTATATATAAGCAATAAATATACTTCCTAAAATGAAATTAAGTAGGGAATTCGTGACAAAATCACGCCCAAATCGGTGTAATAAATTTTAATTTATCTTTAATATTTCCCTTTTTAGCTTCTTATAGGGTTATGTATATAATTTTCCTTTTATTAAAAGCTTTTATGACTAAATTGACTAAATACTAGGGCTGAGCAAAACTACCCGAAAAACCGAAAACCCGTTCCGTTACCGTTCCAAAAATTAGGGTACCCGATCCGATAATCATAACGGTTTGGGAACCCGTTCCGATAATTTGTTATCGGGTATGGTTTTTGGGTATCATTTTAAAATTAACGGGTACCCGTTCCGTTCCGATAAGCAATTATTTTGTTTTTTTTCCTACTTAAATCTATCTTTTCAATATTTAAAATCTTACGTTACTTCATAATCACTATAAATATCAATAATTAGTAATGTTATTAATAATTTGGTCAAGATCATGTGGTATTGTTGTTAATTAGTGTTAAAAAATATCATAATAACTAATTTTTTAAGTTTAATTATCACTATTGGATACTTTATAGGGTATCCGATAACCGTTCCGAAAATTCGGGTACCCGAAGTCCGGGTACCCGAACTTATCGGTTCGGGTTATGGATAGTGATATTGGTTATCGGGTACCCGAACCGTTAGTACTAATGGTACGGGTACCCGTCCCATGCTCACCCCTACTAAATACACAATTTCTATTTCTATGATCGAAGTAAAAGTAATTGAAGGTTGGTCTCTTTCATATTTATTTTTTCCTCTTCATAGATTTAAATAAAATAAATAAATATAAATAAATATAAAAATGGAAAAAAAAAAATCTCCTACGTAGATTTTATTAGTGATTGTCGAGTTTGAAATTTCCATTCTTTATTTATTCTTCAAATTTTCTATAATGAATAAAAAATGAATGCTAATATTTAAAAAAATTTACTATAGCTATGTCGTTATTAATTAGAGTACTAGTATTTAACATCATGTTCTTTATTTTAGCTCAATTAATCTAACAAGAGGGATCACGATTATTATGTTTTACTTAAAATATTCATACTACGTAATCAAAAGAAAAAAAAATTCATATTACACACTTACCTGTTCACATTTGCTGAACTGAGCTGAAGTGAACTGAACTGAACTAATTGGAGCTGAACTGAACTGAACTGAACTGAACTGAACTGAATATTTTATGAGAGAGGGAAATTAGGAGCTGAACTGAACTTAACTGATTGGAGCTGAACTGAACTGAAATTAAATAAATATGAACAGACCCTTACAATCAAAACTTTTTATTTTTTTTATTAAAACTGTGCTATAATAACACTAACAAGGTAACCCCATAACAGTTGGTCACGCACTCACACAGTCACACATATAAAAGTTTGTGCTCTAACACAACCCACGTCTCTTTAACTTTAGTTTATTCAGTTGGAGGAAAAGCAAAAGCAAAAGTATCAACAAACAATGAAGGAAGAAGTAAGTGTCCAACTCCTCCTAAATGCTAACACCAACACTAATCATCAGCATAGACTAAATGAAGTTGATGGAAAACCATTGTCGTCGTCGTCGTCTATCACTCCTACGCTGCTTCTCTCAGTGTTCGTTACTGTCTTGGGTTCGTTTTCCTGCGGCTATACTGTAAGCTTTTTAATCCCAACTTTTATTTATTTATCAGATTTTAATTAGAGAATAATTGTACATCATGAACATGTTTGTATGTATGTGTGTGTATGTCTTGATTTGAGAGGTATAATACTAGCTGCATATTTGTGAAATTCATAGTTGAATACTCCCTTTGTCTCTAAGTTCTCTTTTTTGTTTGTCTCATATTCCTCTTTAAAATATTTCGTTCCAAGTTACTAATAGAGTAGATAAACCGATTTTGTTGAAACTATAAGATAGGGAGACCGGGGAAATAATATTAAAAACTTGTATTCAATTTCATTAATAAACGTACTAAACTAATAAATTAACTACAAGTTTGTCCCTCATCTCTAAATCCATTGAAATTATTAAGCTAGAAGTAAGGAATATAATCCCTAACCATTAATCTACTAAACTCACTGCTTTTATGACTTCCCTAACACAAACTAATTATACATTAGAATTAATAAAACACTAACAATTTAAAGCATTACAAATTATAAGCTTCAAGTCCTTCAACCAAAAATCATTACCTTAAACTTTTGGTTGAGTTAGTCATGTAACAAATTAAGGATTTGTTCTCATACGATTATTTTCATTTAAGCTCAACTCAATTCAGTTCTTTCAGTTCGGTTCATTTTCTAATTTCCTTCTCTTATAAAATATTTAATTCAATTCAATTCAATTAAGCTCAAATAAGTTCAGTTCAATTAAGCTCAAATAAGTTCAGTTCAATTAAGCTCAAATAAGTTCAGTACAATTCAATCAATGAGAACTGACCCTAACTATTTAAGTGGCCCTAACTATTAACTATTACTCTACTCGTACTTAAGAAATTTTGCCACAACTTCACTAGTTCTTTGACTTATTTCTTTTCTCATCAACTACTGTCCAACCCCACTTGCAAGCCATGTGCACATTATTTTTTTATTATTTTTTTTTTTCTGAAAAAAAAGCTTTGTTCGATGAGACATTTTCATAGTTGGAAGGACTGTAGGAGCATTAGATATGAGTATTAATATTGTTTTTTTTTTTTTTGTTAATGAGTCCAGGATGGTGTGGTGTGGCCGTGTGGGTAGTCGAGTAGAAAGTGCACAATTCTTTTACTTTTTGCTTTTAATTTATATTTTTTAGACACTTTATGCTATAGGAAATGGTAAAGGCTCATAGTGGGTACATAGATCATTCAACATTTTTGAATTTTTTAAAGGTTTTTTAATTTTTTTTTTTTAAAGTATATTGTTAAACAACTTCAAGTATATTTTAACAACGATTAGGTTTTCTTATAGAATTCTTGTTAATCAAATTTTTAAATGGTTTGAGCTAATCATCTCAATGTCACTATTAGAATTTTTCATTCATTAATTATGTAACTAATTTCAACGATACACACACTGTACATTTTTATCTATCTATAAAAAAACACACTACAATATAATATTGTGTTACTAAATGAATCTCGTGTGATGCACGTTTGTTTGTATTTTTTCAAATAAAAATTCCTATATATATATATAACAGATAAACTTTGTGATATTCTCTTGCTTACTACTTGACTTTTTAATTATAAAATGAATTATTAACTTTATTTCTTTAGATTAAATTCGTAATATAAAAAGATAATATTTTACTTTACAAAGTTTCATATGTGACTGGTCACACCGTGTGGTTGGGGTTACTTCGTCAGGAGTTACTTGATTAATCTGGGTTACTGTACTCAATCAACAAGGGTTACTCGGACACTCAGGGGTTACTCGGTCGGTGTTTGGGTTTGTCTTTGCCATGCGATATGCTAGTTTTATTTTATAATTAGTACTCTGTATGAAATTGTAAATCTAAAATAAATTGCAATTTTTTTTTTTCATTGGCTAAAATATAACTATTGGACGCTCTAAGATTAATCTTACGTGGCATAATCTTATTGTAGCGTTTCAAAATTATTATTTATTTATTTATTATTATCTTACGTAGCACTTTTTTTTTTTTAAAAAAAACTAATCTTACATGGATTAATAATCCGATTGTAGCGTTTTAAAAATATTAATCTTAAGTGACGCTCTAATAATTTTGTAAAAAATAAAATCCTAGGTGGCGATCTAAAAACTCGGGAAAAAATTCCCCTTTATATATATACAATAGTTTTGTGTCCGGGCGATCCGGATTGTAAAGTTTATCATGAAATTTTTGGCTTGAATTTTTAATACATTCATATAATTCCTTTTCATAATTTATATACTCTTAGTAGTGTATTTTTTGTAATTTTGTTTGTAAATAGAATTATGTATTAATATTGACTTGAAAATATTTTTATTGAACTTAAACTATTTTTACTAAAATGAAAGTATTTTAAGCAAAGTAAAATTATTTTTACTGATTAGAACTTATTTTTTTACATATACTCTATTTTTTTAATAAATTAAATATATCTATGATATAATTAACTTGAAATTATTGAAAGTTTTTTTTTTAACCAATATTCACTATAATTCATTAAAATAAATTAATATATATTATAAATGGATCTTATTTCAAAGAATTTTTTTAAACGAATTTTATGATGGAAATAGAATCTAGTTATAGGACATTTATTAACAACTACAGTATAATTAATTTTGTATATATGAAATATTAGAAATATATCAGCAATAAAACTTTATCTAGCAATTTTATTCTTGAAAAATTCTATCCAAAATTCGCTACTTTTTTATCATATGTGTCACAATAAAACCTAGTTTTTGCCTACGTGGCGTGACACGTGGCGAATAATTGTAATGTCAAGTGTCACATCGTGGCCTGGCTGCGAGACCGACTTTATATATATATTAAAGATAGGATATATATTAGATTGTGATTATTGATCATTTTATTACATTTTAAAAACTACAAGTTATTTACCAATTGTTTCGGGGTTTTCTGATGTCCTGCGGGAGAGTTACAATTCCGAGACTGGAACCGGACGCCTGTACCTGCAAAATAACGGAGACTCCTGAGAGCTCCGCCTCCAACGGTCAAGTTAGTACCTGATTAAGGAGTTATTAATACGGAAATTAAAGTACTAAGATCTCTCTAGGTGAGAGTGCTTAATGTTGGTAATCTGCGTCGTTAGCGAGATTAGCCGGTTGTTGGTGTTCCGTAATATTTCTGTTCTTCTCTGCTTGATTTCTTGATTTTTCGATTGCCTAACTAATGAGGATTAATTAAGTATTTATAGCCTTGAGAAGCGTGCCACTCTCTAGGTTTAAGGTAAACCTAGGGCTGATCGGGCCTCTAGACTGGATTGGGCCTTGATGGCCGGTTTTCCCATTTGGCATGGGTGGACACGTGGCGTGCTTTGATTGGTCCGTAGAGGACGTATCTGTGATTGACACGTGGCGGGCTCCTATTGGCCTTCGTGAAGGACCCGTGGCGGAACCTGGTTGGTCCACTTGTCAGACGGTGATTGGTGGATAAAAATCCCCTAATCATTTGCCCCTCACAGGTGGCACGTGACTGGTCACGTGTCGCCTGTGACAGGTGTCGCACGGTGACAGGCGACGGCCTGCTACAGGTGTCACCTTGCAAACGGCCGAGAGATTTTCCCGCCCAAATTTTGAATTTGGAAGCGACCTTTCGCCTTCTCACTTTGCCTATAAAAGGAAGTGCTGACTTCGGTCATTTTCACATTTGAGAACTTTGCGAGAACATTCGGACCCCTGAACTTGCTCTGACATTTCAGACCTTTTCTGCCTACCGCCTGTTCTGACAAGCCGACTGCACCGGACTTCCAGGACTTCATCAACCGTCACTCGTTCAGGTAACTCAGTTCTCTTACTCTTAATTTTCTTTTTATTTTTTGAAATGGCACCACGGAAGCACACGACACGACCTAAGTTAGTGATCAGCCGGTCACCGGGGACGGCTGAATCTAGGACTAGGAGTGCCGCCTGCCCTTTTCTGGACCCATCTTTTCCCTTTATACAAAGTCCGACTGTATCTGTGTCTATGCAGAACGTGATGGCCAGAACGAAACAGACTGCTATGATATCAAACTCAGACGGCTCCTCCCAAAGGGTGCTCCTTAGTGAAACATCTGACCAGGCGCCAGATGTAGAATTGAAACGAGGCGACTGCCAAGCCGACAGTTCTGAGAGAGGGGCCAAGGTGGTCCCTTCCCATCTTACCGTTGACATGTCTAATTTTCCTCCTGCTCCTTCTAAGGGAGAGGAGGCGGGCCCCTCTGGGAGAGGGGAGGAGTCGTCCTCTTCGGACTCGTCAGAGGACGAGTCCGAGTCCAGCTCTTCTGGCCACAGTTCTCCAGGCTCAGAAGAAAGACATAGCCGCCTACAAGAGGCGAGACTTTCTCATGCAGTTGAGAAGGGGGACAATTGGGCGGAGCCGTCCGCCTCTTACAGAGAGGAAAACGCCCCCTACTACTGCATGGTACCCCGGGGCCGGATCGCAACCATGCAAGACAACGTGGCGAGCTTTATTGCCAACCACAGAATGGGCCCGGAATTTTTACTGTTCGTGCCGGATCCAGAAGACACTGTCGTCTGGCCGGCTGGTACCAGCTATGGTGACGGCTGCTTTGGCTGCTATGTGGCGGCCATCAAAGCTGGACTGCGCTTCCCATTACATCCGGCTGTTCAGCGGATTTTAGATGGGTATGATCTGGGGTTATGGCAGTTAGCCCCCAACTCTTGGGTAAACGTACTCGGCTATGTGGCCGGGTGCGAAATGTACGGGGTGGAGCCAAGCTTTGAGGCTTTCGCCCACATGAACTATCTCAGCCGGACCCCTAAGTCGGGAGGTACCGGCTGGTACCAATTAACAAGCCATAGGGGTTACCTCATGACGAGAGGTAAGGCGAACAAATGGAAGGATTGGCGGAACACCTTCCTTATCATTGAGGGTTCAGACACGGAGCTGAACCAACGTTTTAACAAGTGGAATAGGGATCCGCCTCTTCTTGCAGGCGGCCGAAGCATGCCGCCTGTTCCCCCAAAGGCTAAAAG